TTTTTAATTATACTAAGTTAATATAAAAATACATTCTTTAATATAGTTTGAGAATAGATTACTTTCTATATACCATGAAAACTAAAGTGAAAGCTCCCCATTTAAAAAATAAAAAAACCAAGAGAAGGTTTGAAAAAGATGTTGACTTGGTGACAACGAACCAATTAATAATGATTTGACATTTTAACATTGTGTAGATTAGTAATTGACGAATATATTTATTGATAAAAAAAACAAGGATTAAAGTAAATGAAATTTGTAAGAGGTAAATAATCGAACACTTGATGTGCAATAAAAATGATGAATTGAATTGATAATTATTCAACTAATATGTTTTAAATAGAAAAAGTAGAGTAACAGGTTGCACAATACAACGGCTCAAGGACTCCATGATTTGGTAACAAAAAACTAACTTATAACTAAAAACAAAGAATCTCATCTCCATTAACCAAAGACTAAGCAACAAACTTGGACTCTATCAACCAATAAACTGAAATTGCAAATTATTTTGTAGACACGTGAATAATAAATTGACATCTAAATAAAGAAATTGACACCTACGCAAAGAGCCATTTTGGCATTATATTGTAACATGCTCCCCCTAATGTTGAAATTTAATACTCCAAGCAAATTCCTTAAGTGAACAAATTTATCCAAAGGAAATGTGAAGATGTTAGTAACTTGATCCTTTGAGTTGCAATGAATGACTTCCAAGCTTCCACTCACCACCAAGTCTTTTATGAAATGGTGCCAAGTCTCAATGTGACTAGTTCGACTATGAAATACTGGATTTTTGGCCATTACAATGGTCAATTGATTGTCACAAAATATTGTTGTTGGCTGCACTTTTAATTGCTTCATATCCTCTAGAATTCTTCTTGTCTATGTGGCTTGATACTTCTTACTTTTGAAGATGACAAAGTTGTGGAGGCTTGCTTCTTTAATCTCCAAGAGATAGCTCCAAACCCCAAAAAGAAAGTATAACTTGAAGTACTATATTGGTCATCAATACAACTAACTCCATCATTGTCAAAGTATCCAAATAAATTAAATTGGTCAGTTTTGGTATATAAAATGCCAAAAGAAATTGTCCCCTTCAAGTATCTTAGAATTCTCCTAAATACTCCATAATTTGTCTTGCTTAGACTTTACATGAAACGAGATAACACACTAGTGGCAAAAGCAATATCAAGCCCACTATTTGTGAGATAAAGAAGACTCCCAATAAGGTTGCAATAAGCATGAATATCAACTGTTTCTTCTCCATCATTCAAATTGATTTTCTGATTAGAAACCATTGGAGTTTTCACTTAGTTTCAATCTTCCATTCTATACTTGTTAAGGAGATCTTTAACATATTTCTCTTGGGAAATAAAAACTCCCTCACCATTTTGAACCACTTCCAACCCCAAAAAATATCTCATTAAACCCAAGTCAATCATGTCAAACTCATTAACCATCATTCTTCTAAATTCTTTCAACAAAAAAGAGCTATTGTTAGTGTATATTAAATCATCAACATAAAAACATACTAATAGTACCTCATCTCCACCGCTAGTTCGAATATACAAAGTAGGCTCACTTGGACTTCTACGAAAATCATGGTTGCAAAAATGAGTAGTAATACTTTCATACCAAGCCCGTAATGCTTGCTTTAGACCATAGAGTGCTTTCTTCAACTTGTACATTTTCTGCTCTTGTCCTTTAACTTCGTAACCCCTGGGCTATTGGACATACACATCTTCCTCTAAGTATCCATCCAAGAAAGTTGACTTCACATCAAATAAAAAAACAAACCATTTATGTTGAGCAGCTAAAGCTAAAACAGTTCAAATAGTATCAAACCTGGCAACTGGTGTAAAAGTCTCATCAAAATCCACACATTCTTGCTGCATGTAACCTCTAGCAACCAACCGAGCTTTGTGTTTATGAATTGTCCCATCAGAATTGTACCTTATCTTGTATACCCACTTTAGACTTACAACTTTGTTGTCTTTAGGCAAGTCCATGAGCTCCCATGTTTAACTTCTTGCCAAGGTCTCCATTTCCTCATCCATAGCTTTGCACCATTTACTATTCTACATTGCTTCCTCAAAACAACTAGGGTCCTCCACGTGCCATTTGACACCTTTGAGTTTGTTCATAAAGTTCCACCAAGGATTTTACTCTTCTTGCCTTCCTTGGAGGTGGAGGTGTCTCAGGTGAGGATGGACACAATCTACTGCCACTATTAGGTGTAAAGGAACTCGGATCTTCACCCATTTCACCTTTAGTCATAACTAGATCATCCTCCAAAATGCCATTAACCAACACAAAACCTGGACTTTTCTTCTCATTCCAATTCCATGAATTTTTCTCATCAAAAATCACATCACGACTAATTAGTAACTTCTTGGTGATAGGATCATAAAATCTATAGCCTTTAGTCTTATCACTATAACCAAGGAAAATGCACTTCACATTGTTTTAATCAAATTTTGTCCTTTTTTGAGATGGAACATGAACATAAGTTAAACACCCAAAAACTTTAAAGTGACTTACCTTGGGCTTCTAGCCTTTCCAAGCTTTGAATGGAGTTTGATGATGCAAAGTTGCTATGGGACTGCGGTTCTGAATATAAGCTACACTTTGAATTGCTTCTGCCCAAAAACTATTTGGAAGACCTGTTACTTTCAACATGCTTTTTGTTTTCTCTACAGGGCTTCTATTTTTGTTTTGGGCTACCTTATTCTATTAAGGGGTATAGCTTGTTGTCAATTGCCTTTCGATGCCAAAATCTTCACAAATTTTGTTAAATTTAGCTTAAACAAATTCTCCACCTTAATCTATTCATAGAACTTTGATTGAACATCCATTTTGCTTTTCAATAAGACCTTTGAACTTTTTAAAGCTTGGGAAGGCATCTAACTTTTCTTTGGCAAAGTAAACTCATGTCAGTTTACTAAAATCATCAACAACGACAATAAAATACCTACTTTTGTTGAGAGACAAAGTATTCATTGGCCCACAGACATATGCATGTATTAACTTAGTAGGTTTCAGAGCTCTTTTCACCTTCCATTTGGGAAAAGCGTCTCGATGATGTTTGCCATAGATGCAACTTTCACACACACCATCAACTTATTCAGTGATAGGCAAACCATGCACTAAATTCTGTTTTGACAAAAGTACCAACCCTAGAAATTCAAATGCCCGTATCTATGATGCCACAACTAATTTTCATCATGCAAAGTGACATTCAATGCAAACTCACTATCAAGAGTTAAAGGAAAACACTTGTTTTTTGCCATTACAACTTTAATTAAAAGCTCCTTTTTAGTTCCATCTTTGTAAACATAGCAAGCCATATTTTCAAAAACAAGTGCATATCCATCCATCATAAACTGACCCACACTTAGCAAATTAGAAATCCAGATGAGGTATGAATAGAACATCATCTATACAATTCTTGCCATATTCATTCAATTTAACCATACCTTTTCCTCATGCTTCTCGTATGATACCATCTGGGCCAACAATAATAATAAAATCTTTTATGGCAATAACCCACTCATGATTCATGGTTCCAATTTAATGCCCTCCTTCAAAAATATTGATTTGACAAATTGGTATTAGTCTGAAAACGAATTCTCACTAACATCTAAATGTTGAGATTAGATTGGTATTTTTTAAAGGTCTTGTGCATGCTAAAGCCAGAGTTTAGAGAAATGCAATTTAGCCTTATTTATTATTTCTAATAGTGGGAGTGCTATGCAACTTTAAATTGACTCGTTTTGAAGTTGGGGTATGTTTTATTTATGTACTATTTCATTACTATTCAAAGAAAAAAAAAAATAGTCGGAGTGCTAGAATTCAAATCAATCCTTCTTTTAAATAAGAGATGATGAAAAGATGTATTTTATCAATCGAGTTATAAAAGAAGTTATGATGAAAAATATAGGACCATATACCATATTTTTAATGCCTAATTTAAAATAAAGGGTGTAAATTGCTAAAAAGTATTGTACAATTTAGATAGCATGACTAAATAATTAAATGAGGGTTCACTTCATTAATATTAAGGATTATCTCCCATCAAATGATTCTTATTTTATAATTTTAATTACAAAATATGAGACTTTTTGTACCAATTTAGAAGATTATAGACTGTCTATGATCTCAAATTTGGGTAAAAATTCATGGCCAATCCTCCACTTAATAATTATAAAACTTTTAATTATTTTCCCTACAAGTTAAAAATTTTAGCCCCTCTTCTTTTTAGTTTAAATAAAGCGTTAAATGGACGGCTAACAATCACGTGCATCACATGCTTGTTAGGATTCCATGACCTTTGCCATGTCAACAATTCTTTGTTATCATGAACTACTAATGTAGACAAAGTAAACTATAAATCTACAACTTACTTTAAAATGGACCAAAAATATTTGGTTAAACCCCCAATTTGGTTAAACCCCAATTTGATTTCTCAATTATTGTATGAATCCTCTATTTGGTTCTTGAACTAAAAATATTCCTGATTTGATCTCTATTGTTTATCAATTTAATCTCAAGTTGGTCAATTCGTTAAAAAATAACTAACGTATTTACTACTTAACAACAGAAAACCATTATTTAATAACTACGTGTCACGTTAATAATGAGACACGTTATCTGTTTTTGTACAAAATAATCAACTTGGAGCTAAATTGGTAAACAGTAGAGATCAAATCAAAGATTTTTTTAGTTTAGACACCAAATTGAGGGTCCATATAATAGTTGAGGGACTAAATTGGGGATTTAACCAAAATATTTTTTAATTTCAAACAACCATGGCAAAGAGCAACAGACTCCTAATATGAGCATGGGACGCAAGTGACCATTGGCCGTCCGTTTTGGGCTTCTTTATTTAACCGAAAAGAGGGGCTAAAATCTTCATGTTACAAGGCAAAGGGCTAACCATGAATTTTCGCCCTCCAATTTGACTGTTCGGCTTCAACTCCTTATGGGTTTTCTGGATTCTTCTCCAAGTCGACTCCTTTTGTGGGTAGGACTTTCTCTTTGCAAACAAAAACCGAGGCATCCTTGTGTTCCTAGATTCTGTTTGTTTTTATTAACTTTCTGTTTGGTTACTGGTAAAGTTATGTTGCTTTGGGTTATCTGGGTTATGCTATTTGACCTTTTCGTTCACAGTTGTTGGGGTGAAGGATTTTTTTTTTTTTTCTTAGATTGAAACTTTGGTTGCTGTGAAAAATGGGAACTTGAAATGAAATTCTGATTCTATTTAATTTTTAATTTTTTCTCTTTAATTTAGTATAGTCAATTGGCTGAATGATGTAGTTCAGGTTTAGGATTTGCCCATTTCGTTTTGGTGTATTTCAGTCTGTTTTTGACTTGAGGGGAAAGGGTAGGGGAAAGAAGATTCTACTTAACTTCTATCCCTGTTTGAATGGAGTAGACAGCATGCTTAACTGCGTGGTTTTATAAGGAGAACTTGATTGTAGGTCTTTGCATTCTATTATTTCCCTAGCCATTTTGGTTGCTATGTAAATGGAGGAAAAGAGAAGAAGCTAGAAATTAGAATTTGATCTTATATCATTGATGTTTATGTTTTCTCAATATATTGAAAGCTAAGATTAGCTAAGCCAGTAGTTTTTGTGGTTCTTTTGGTTTTCCGACTTTTTAAAGGCCATGTGAACTTGAAAGAAAATTCTGGCTCGTTTTTTATTTATTTTGGTCTGGGCAATTAGCTGAATGATGTAATTCAACTTTGTGATTTTGCCCTTTTCCTGTTTCTGTAATTTAGTCAGCTTTTTCACTAAGGCAAGAGGAGGGGAAAGAAAATTCTACTTTACTTCTACCCTTGTTGTTTAAATTGAATAGGCAGCTTGCTGAGTTGAGTGGTTGTTTAGTGAAAACTTCATTGCAGGTCTCTGCATTCTATCACTTTCCTAGCCATTCTGGTTCCCATATAAATGTTGGAAAACACAAGGAACTGAAAGTAGAATTTAGATGTTATATTATAATGTTTCATAAAAAACTAAAGATGGTTTGGATTTTTCTCCTTTCAAAAGGCAATGAACAGGTTTTGATATTTTTTATCATATTGTTGCAGTCAAGGTTGGAATACCAGAATTTCTGAATGGAGTAGGGGGAGGGGTTGAAGCACATGTGGTGAAGCTAGAATTGGAGATTGGCGACTTTCAGAAGCTGCTTGTTACTAGCACGCTTAAGCTCAAGAAACTTGGCATTCCCTGCAAACATGTATTTTTTCCCAATTCTAAACACCATGCTTACATATATATATGTCCGAGTTTCTATGCATCAGCTTTTATGCATTTTTGAGTGGGACTGTGGGATACCTTTGATGAAGAAGTACTATTGTTTAAACAATGTTGCTTGTAGATCAGGAAATAATTTCTTAGCATTGAGCAATCCTTTGGCCTTAGTCTACTATTCTGCCTGGGTTACTTGCTTCATTAGTCTTGTGGTTTAATAATTTCACTAGTGTTTTAGCTCAGATGCTTGTGGTCAGTCCAAGATAATGCTCATGCAAAAAGGGCTTGGAAACTGTACGAGTTAGAGTAGAATAAAAGTCTGGTTGTTTGAACTTTAAATTGATTGGAGAAAGTAAATGAAAACCATTTAATCTTTATATTGGATTTTCACTTTAGTTAGTTGATGGTTGAGCTAGTCATGTGGTGTGTGTGCTAAATTGTATATCTTTGGGTAAAATGGTGTCTTTGGCTCTGATACTTCAGTACCACATTCAAAATTTTCTACTTGGCATTTCGAACTATCTAGTTCTTGTATTGAAAATGTTTTGAATACCTTAATTCCAACTTCTATGGTTACATTCCAACTAGAAATTATCTTCATTAGAGAGTAGACTTCTCGTGGGAAAGAGATGAAACGTCTTCTCTTCTTATTATCCATAAATTGCAAGTTGTTTCTAATAGACTACATTAGTTACTTCTGAGATCTGACATTCTGACTTTGGTTTTACAGAGGAAGCCGATACTGAAATATGCCCACAAGTATAGGTTGGGACTGTGGAGGCCTCAAGCTGAGCCTGCAAAGGCATAATGAAGGGCAGCAGCAATATGTTTGTCTATGATAGAGTCTTTCCAACGGACATTTCTTCTCCTTGAGATGAGAAATTGTTGGAGTTTTGGCCTCAGTGTCTGTAACTCTATTTAACGGACGGAGTTTAGTGGTTTAGGTCAACAGATACTGTGAGCATATCTCACAGCCTCAATAATTTATTTTCATTTTGCATCCATTTCACATTGAGAGCTGCAGTTGGTATTGGATGATTACTTAATTGAAAATGGAGGGCTTTTGTTAAAATTTACACTTTTTTGGGGGGATAACTTTGTTTTTCCATCTCCCCAAATGTGCTTCATTCTCCTTTCTAGGTAACAAAGACAAAATGAGCTTTATCTGAATTGTTTCACACACACTTGTCCAATGGGTTTTTTTATTTGTTGTGGTACTAACTTGGTTGAACACTTATATCATGGAAGAAAACTTAAACCATGTCCAAAAATTTGTTCCCAACAAGATAAGCATTGTAAGCATCAAGAACTGCAAACTTGACCTACTCCACAGAAAACAACCTTGCATTCCATGAAGGATTCTTGGTGCAATCAACAGTTGATTGCTTAATTTGAATCCCAGCTATATCAGCCAACCCTTTCGAATCCATGTCCCTGCATAAGATCAGGATTCATTAGAACCCTAGCAGCCAAAGAGCCCAGCTCAACCCCACTCTTGCATTTTAAATAACGTTTGTAGACGCCGCCGCTTGTGTGTAATGGCAGTTCTTAACTCAGAAACACCAGTATCAATCAGAGCAGCTTGATCAGCTACACCAGACGGAGCAGCTTGTGTGTAATGGCAGTTCGTATTGGCTCATTTTTGACAGGAAAGAGATTGGTATTGTCCTGAACTTTTTGAAGTCTCTTTATGGAGAAACAAATACTTATCCATTTCCATTTTCCGCTATGATATGCATTGTGAAGGTGAAAGGATTATTGGAGAGAGTTTTACATAGACTGAAATGAATGTTGATTGACTGAACATTTAAATGAATTTTGTGTGCATGATTCCAAAGAGCCATGGGGCATGAATAGGCACTAAATGATGTCAACACTTCTGTTCATTGGCTAGGGGCAAGTGCTCTGTCACTCCAATTAATTGGACAAGTTCACAATCTGAATTCTACCTACTCAAACATAATGCTCATAAATCATAATCCAACATTTTAAGAATATGCATCTCAGAAATTGCTTATATATACTTACATATATAACTGTATAACCTTGTTTTCTTAACATATCGATTTATAAAACAGCAAAACAATGTGTAGAACGGAACAGAGAAAAGTAAAACATGACCCTTATCACAGACATAATCCCGTCGAGATTCAAGAACAAAACACAAGCCCCATTTTCAATAACACAATTCAACACCTCTATCTTCTCCAGAAATTTGCTACCTATGAGATAAGCCATGTAGGCATCATGTATTGCAAGCTTGATCTGCTCAGCTGAAAACACCCGTGCACTCCATGCAGGTGTTTTGGTGGCAGAAAAAGTTGACTGCTTCAATGTTACTCCAACTGCTTGAGCCAACTTTTTCAATCCATGTTCTTGAATGAGATCAGGTTTCCTTAGAACTCTAGCAGCCCAATAGCCCAGCTCAACCCCCAATATTACATTCAGCGCTAATTTTTATGATTTTTCCTTTAATGTTAATGGAGTAACTCAAAATGTCACTCACCCTAACACCAACAAAACAAACAGTCGCTTGAGAAAATAAATCAGCAAACAATAAGGAATAAGAGTCAAAAGAATGTAACTGAATTATGAGGAATTCAGTCCCAGCGTAGAGAGTGAGCAACCGCGCTACATCGTTCAGAGTCTTAACATCAAGAGCAACAAGACGTTTTTCTCTAAAAATGAACTCATACATTTCATAAATGTGTATCAACCAGGCTGGACCAATCAGCTATGTGTGTCTTAACCTTGATACCATGAATTTCAACTTCGTATGAGCACATTTCGTGGAGAAAATCCAATGGAATGTTCATGGTCTTGAATCATTGCATGCAATTTGGGGAATAATCTAATTCCAAACACATCTGATTTTATAGAGGGAGGCCTAACCACATGATGGAAAGGATCGATACAGTGAAAGCAAACTGTATCAACAGAGTCTCTCTGGGAAAAGAAGAGAGTTCTTAATCTCACTGACAAAGTCTAACAATATCCTTGCAATGACATAAGTTGTCAAAACATTGTCCATTGCAAGTTTAATCTGCTCATTAGAGAACAACCAAGCATCCCACTTAGTGTTGTTTCACTTCTTTAGAGTTGACTCCTCCATTTCTATTTCAGCAGCATCAGTTAAGTCAGCTAATCCATTGGTATTCCTCCATGAGATTGCGATCGTGGGGCACTCTTGCAGCCAAATAGCCTAGATCAACCCCATAGTTCAATAATTTATTGCAACCTAAAACCCTCATTCTGTCACCTAGAGTAGATCACATTTTACGTATTTCTTTACCAACAAAACATCCAGTCTCATCCGACGAAAACTCCTCTAGGCTTTCCAGAAAAGAATCAAGAAAGCCTTACTGAACTATGAGGCTGTGAGTCCTAAGGCAGAGAATGAGCAAACATGCTTTATCTCTCCATCAACCCCAGATCTAGACATTTTCTCTTCCAATTTCTCTCTTTTGTTGGGTTGTTGCTGGGTCAATCAAAGGAACCCTGCAACAGCGCCTACTGGGTTCGAAGGAACCCAGGCTGTTGGGTTCCTAAATCCTTATCTTCAACCCCTAAATCCTTTCATTTTTTCTTCCCTTTCCCAACACCAGATTTGGGTTCCTTTTCAGGTTCCCACTTGCTCAGCTTCATGCTATGCTTTGTGCCGGTGAAACTGACGATGATGAAGAAGAGGAAGATGAGGCTGTAGATGATTAGGATGAGGATGGAGGTAAGGAGGCAGATGGATCTGGTGAGGACGGTGAACAGTAAGAAGGAGAAAGGAAAGGAGAGAGATAAAAAAAGGGGTGGGCTTGGTGCGTATGGAATTAATGAAAAATAACGGAGAGTGAGTATGTATAATAGAGAGTATAATGGATGAGGGAGTATGTATAATAGAGAGTGTAATGGATGAAGGTGCATGTATCATTGTCCGGGTTACAATCAGTCATGGAATGTTCGTGGGACACTTGGATTTGTTTGGACCTGTTGCAAGAAAATAAGAACCACGTTAGGCTAAGTGTCACTCACTGTTCCTGTATAAAAAAAAAAACCAGTGAATTGATCGAGAAATTAAATCTATTCCAAAAAACATGGCTGGAAAACCATTCAACTTGAAACCTTTCCTATTCTTGTTTAAGATCTTCCCATTAAAAACATGGAACAAGTTGTACTACCAGGAAAAACCCTGCATCTCCAATGCATCAAAACCAGAATTCAACATGTCCCCAGCAGAACAAGATCTGAATCCAAACAGAAGTTTGGTGTTTCATATGGAGGGAGTGCTGTTGAGATCATTTTCTGTCTTTCCTTACTTCATGCTAGTAGCCTTTGAAGCTGGAGGACCCTTGAGAGCTTTCGTACTTCTCCTTCTTTACCCTCTTTTGTGTTTGGTCGGGAGGAAAATTGGGATGAAGATCATGGTTTTTGTTACCTTTGTGGGATTGAAAGAGGAGACTTTCAGAATCGGAAGCACTGTTTTGCCAAAGTTTTTCCTAGAAGATATAGGAAATGAAGGGTTTGATATGGTGATGAAGTACTGTGGAAGAAAGATAGGAGTGAGTGAAATGCCTAGAGTAATGGTGGAGAGGTTTCTGAGAGATTACTTGAGAGTTGAAGGTGTTGTGGGGAAGGAATTGAAGGTGATTTCAGGGCATTTTACAGGTTTAATGGAGGAAAAGAATACAGACTTAGACGGCGTTTTCAGCTCGTTAGATATTGGCCTTTGTTGCTTCAAGAATCGGAAACTCTTTTCTCAGTGTGAGGTTTGTCAATCTAGCCTTGAGAACAATCGCTTTCTCTTACTTTCTTTCACTTTCGCTCTTATGATCTTGTTTTGTTTGCATGCATTCAGGTGGTTTACTTGGTAAATGAAGGTGAAAAAGGGAATTGGGAGGCTCTTCCAAGGGAGAAATATCCAAGGGAATTGATTTTCCACGATGGGAGATTGGCATTTAGGCCAACCCCTATTGCCACCTTATTCATGTTCATGTGGATCCCAATCGGGCTCTTACTAATGGTCATCCGTACATTAGCTGCTTTACTCTTACCATATAAACTTTCTGTCCCAATCCTATGCTTCACTGGAATTACAGGCACCAGCAGCGGGCTAAACCTGTTGGACACGAAGGGAAAACAACGGGGTGCACTCTTTGTTTGTAACCATAGAACCTTGCTTGATCCCATCTATGTTTCATTTGCCCTGACGAGGTCTGTGACTGCAGTTACATATAGTATAAGCTGGATCACTGAGCTGGTTTCACCAATCAAGACTGTCCAGTTAACCCGAAATCGGGAAAAGGACTCAGAGCTGGTAGAACAGGAACTGAGGCAGGGTGACCTTGTAATATGTCCTGAAGGAACTACCTGTAGAGAGCCTTATTTGCTAAGGTTCAGTCCTTTATTTGCTGAGATAAC